TTTATACTTAATCGAAATAGGCTCTTCAATTAATTCTAACTAGCGAATAACTCGGAATAAGCTCTCCTAATTTAACCCGCTAGTCGCATTAAAATCTAGGAAAATAGACCGATCTAAGCCACAAACACATAAGCTCGGTTCATGTAACTTATGTTGTGCTATCCCTAACAATGCACGACTGTTAGTTGCTACAAACGAAATAAGAGCGACGACAATTACGGATCGAAGCCTCAAATCTAGCAATTAACATGCAATTCCTAACTTAGGTGATCAAGCTAAATTAAAAACCACACATTATGACATGAAAATAGAATAACACAAACAATTTTATACGACGAGTAAAACGAAATAAATAACATTAATCAAACGTAGTCATCGAGGGTTCAACGTCCCTAGAACCGAAATAAGTATTTAGCTACACATAGCTAAATAATATTTACAAAAATAAATATCCATCATGTTCTTCAAATAAAATAGAAAAGCAAAATAAAATAAAAAAATAATTCAAACTCCTTTTTCCAAGTAGTTCACGGCTGAATTGAGTTGCAGCAGCACAAAAATCCTCCACCTCTTTGATACTCTCTATTCACGTCCCAAAAATAAGTCCCCGATAAGAATTCCCTTTTTTTCTTTTTGATGCCACCCAAAGTCCAAAAATAAGAGTCCAACTTCCTTGTAATTCTTCCTCCAAATAACTCACGAGAGTCCCACTCATTTTAAATTCTCTTCCCCCAAGTTAGCCCATAAACACGAATTCACCAACAAAATTAAACATCAATTAATTTTCCTGGAGCACTCCCGCATTATAAGTCCACCAATTCAACCAAATTCTTAATTATTTCCTAGTCCACTAGACATTGTCACGCCTAGTCACCAATTCCCAGCCACGTCATCTCCTACTTAGTTGCCACATTATTAATATGCGTAAAAACTGCAAAATAGAATAAAATCCAAATATTGGTGTACGTCCGTTCATAAAATAAAATACGTCAGAAAACTTGAATAATACACTAAAATCTACTATTCAAATATATAATTTAAATCGCAAAATACTACAAGATTTCTAACGTATCAGTATGACTTGCAATGTGGCGATTCATAATGACATGTATTAATGTGGTGGTGGTTCTAGACTGCATGATATGACTCGTGCTGATGGATATGAATGAAGTAGTTTACTCATTGATAAATTTACACTATTTATTTAGATGAATAAAAAGTTCATATATATGATTTTGAGATTAACTCAAAAACATTAAAATTTATAATTCTAACTTATTAATTCTTTCATATTTATTATCATGTATATATGCATATGGACTTTGAGATATTGAAATTCATATCCACAATTTCACACACAATGATTCGTTTCAATATATTTGTGATTGCACTGCAATGCAGTCCTCAAAAATTTTAAAGTTAAATCACACACATGTATGTGTATATGTATGTGTTGATGAAATGATAAAAAAGTAAAGAGTTTGCTTGTGTATTAATCTAACGGTAAAAGAACATGTTGACTACAGTTTACCTCATTATTGTTGCTCGGCCTAAATAAACACAAAACTCTATTTTGAAAATAAAAGCCCTAAATCTGTTGCCCTCTCTCTTCGAAAAAAAAAATACGAATCTTGACCCATTTGTGTCAAATTGTGGTGGAGATGGATCTCTTGGTAAAGTTATTTAGTCCTCTTTTTAAAATTTTTCATCTCGCTTGTTTGTGTGTTTTATAAGGTGAGCCACGTAGAGGCGAATTTTTGTTAAAAAAAATTTCCCCTGGTTAATTTATTTCTATCACTTGACAGCTAAGAGGATGCTTAAATATAAAACATCTAAAAAAATCAAATCATTTTTAATTCAATTATTTTTTTAAAAATAAATTTAACACAACTCCACTATCAATAATATGTCAATATAATTAAATAATATCAATCAATCGTTCTCACACACCACATCAATTTTAATTCTCTATTCATTCACTCGCATAATTTTAACTAACAATTACTTCAAACTTTATCTTTCTTTTTTCTACATCAAATAAACTTTAATTATTTTATTTTAAATATTACTAGTAAAATATTCATGTACTACACGGGTGTTGAGTTGAAAAATATATGATAAAAGTTATTGCTAAAATAAAATTTTATTTAAAATTGTCGATGGGCTAATTGATGAAAAAAATAAGAGGAATAGACAGTGCAGAAAGTGATTTGTAAATCGTAATTTAGGAGAGAAATATGAGAAAAAATTATAAGATGAGAAGATTGCTACTTGCCCAAATTAAGAAACAAAAAATTACTAAGAAAAAAAAATTACAAAATTAAATGTACACTTACCAAGTTTGAAAAAAATCATTTATGTTTATACCAAACCTAATTCTAAAGTAAAAACGAATATACAAACAACATTCCGAAGCATAAATTTTTGTCATGTCAACATTCGAAGCGTGTGAGTCTGTCACTTAGATTCAACACGTTTTGCATTAATATAGAGAGAGAGAAGAGGAATTTTAATATAACCACTGACAATTAACCATATCATATTTTTTAAAATTAACCGAACTAAATTAAAAATTCAAACAAAACTAAAATTTGTTATATCCAAGCCTCCCCTAAGCATCTTTTAAACAGTTGGTTTAACTCTCTCACACACAACATACTAACATAAGCGAATCTGGAATATTCGATGGGAAGATGCCTGAAATGCGTTGCTGATTTGCTGTATTCCTAATTTCCCACGCACATTGTCGCCCACCAATTATGTTACACCAGCCGCACTCACTAATTAAACTATTCCTTAATTTCAATTAAATTAATTAGCTTTCCTCCTATAAATACCCCCATTTTGCTCGTTTGTGACCTTCTTTCCGCAAACCTCAGAAAGCTTCTATAAGGTTAGCATTTCTGATCTCATTGCTTTTCATTTTCTTTGCCTTTTTATTTTGTTTTGTGTTTTAGTCTGTTTATCGTGTTCTTTTTCTTTTTTTATTTTCTATTTTTTTTTAAG